ACCAAAAAAAAAAAAAAAAAAAAGATTTTATTTTTAAGTCATTTCTACACCCAATATGGGGCTTGAACCTACAACCCCGAGATCAACAGTTGCATGCTCTACCAACTGAGCCAACCAAGCCCGCTGATGGTGTAAGGAGGATTAAATGAACGAATTCATACAGAGTCCCCTGAACACTGGTATATAATAAATAGCAATTTTTGTTATCGTGTGTCTGTGTTTGTTTTTTGTCTTGGGAAATTTCTGCCTGTGGTACTGGTTTTCCATTTCTGCCTGTGGTACTGGTTTTCCATTTATACTGATAACAAAAAGTGGCCCTCTTGAATAAATATAGGTTAAAAAAAAAAAAGGTGAATCCTGTTCAGATAACTGAGCCTCAATACAAAGTCAACTCACCAGGGAGGGCCATACCACGGGAAATGAATGCTGTTTCCTATAAATGAAAGCCTGGCTTTTCTCCGATATGGGGACCTGTCACTTTTTAACTATAACCCAAGATCCCTCTGTGTTCATGCTCTTAGCAGAATGAGCTCTCACTCGGCAGGTGCGAACTCCACTCTTGTGCTTCCTTTCCCAACAACCTCGCTTTCCAGCCTCAGTTTCCAATCCCCAGCACCAACAAAAGGGGAGCTGAGTGTTCTCACCACCCACTGGTACCCCAACGAGAAGCACTCAGGGCAGAAGCCAACTGACCTTCAGGGCTTTGAAGATGACCCCCGGGTGCCGGGGAGAACGGGTGGTATTATTCTCTAGCTGCTGCTCCAAAGCCCGCCGCAGCCCAGAAAAGTCGGTGGGAGGGTTGTAAGTCCTCGTTCCCTTGTAGTGAATGGAACTGAAGGCTTCAGGGAAGCGGCCCAGCTTCCGGAACCGGTCCTGGATGAGCTTTTCAGGCACCTCTGAGGGGTGATCTGGACAAGGAAACAGGTACGTAAACAACCTTTCTTTAAAAAAAAAGATCTGTCTTGCCAATAAAAGTAATATATAATCTGACTCTCTAAAGTACATAAACAGGCAGAACTAATCTACGCTGTTAGGATTCAGGTTACCGTTAACTAGAAGGCAGCATGAGCAGGGTTTCCCCACGAAGAGGGTGCTGGCATTTCATGTCATTTTCTGCTACTGATTTCACGGGTACATCCAGACTGTGAAATTCATCATATTAATACACTTGTGATAGGATGTGCACTCTCTGTATGTACATACTTCAAGGGAAAGTCTTTTTTAATGTGCTCATTGTCAAAAAATCCAAACTGGTCAAAGCATGAAAGGAACAGATTTCCTCTGCCCCCTCCTACTTGCCAGAGGAGACTACAATTCAGTGTTTGCCCATTCAGACTTCTTCTTCCTACACACATACCAACACATACATGCAACTTGCTTGTATCACTTAATTACATACTGTAAGTACCTACTCTTTTCATGATACTCTGAGAAGTTTCTTTTTTTTTTTAATAGCTACATAGTCCGCCATCCTATGGACATATTTAACCAGTCACCTACAAATGAACATTTAAAATAAACGGCTACTTTGAACATGCTGGTCTTATGCTGGTGAAGCTACAGACAAACTGCCAATATATCTGAGGGTAGTTTCACCAATATTTATCCAGAAATTTGTGGAGTGGTAATACAAATGAATTCAATAAATATCCTGGAGATAAATGTTAGAAGAACTTTTTAATTGCCTTTAATATTTTAATAACAACAACAAAATCACTCCAATTAATACTGGAGATATGGCCTTACTCAAATTCAAAAGTACAGTCATCAAAAAGAAGTAGTCAAAATTCTGTAGTTCATCCCTAAATCCATCTCTCCCTGAATTTTTCCTGTGGCAATAACTTTGCGTCCCAGGGTGTCCCAGGGTATCCCAGGGTCAACCATCAAGGAGTGACTCCTCCCAAAGCCACCCAGGTACCCGCTTGGCCCCCCTCCCCCCGTCCCAACATCATCTCACAGATTGTCTCTGGACATATAATCTCTGGTCCCAAATGATTATGGGAGCTGGGTTCTCCTCATTTGTAAAAGAGAGAATTCATTTGCCTTCTAACTCCCACCTAGAATCCTCAGTCCAGAAAACGAACAGGATCAAATAAAATCAGAAAATGGGACACCCAGATGGTTCAGTCGGTTGAATGTCCGACTCTTGATTTCAGCTCAGGTCATGAGCTCAGGGTCATGAGATCGAGCACCAAGCCCCGCCGATTGGCGTGGAGCCTGCTTAAGATGCTCTCTCTTCCTCTTCCTCTCCCTCTGCCCCTCCCCACTGTTCACTCACTCTCTCTCTCTAAAAAAGAAATCAAAATAAAACAAAATAAAATCAGAAAGTATGAGACACAAAACTCAAATTATCAATTTGCCCACAATTCTGGCACCTCTCCTTTACCCTGCGTAAACTCTGGCTGCCTTGGTTCCATCTCCAAATTTCAAGAAGCAGCAACAGTATTCCAGAAAGAGCTCTGGATTTAGGAGGTAGGAAACCTTATTTTGAACCCCAGTTTTGCAACTTACTAGCTGGAAAACTCTTGGTTACATAACTCAAGCTCTCTGAGTTCAGCTTCATCTGTAAAATGGGGCTGCTATTGAGTGGGCCGAATAACAAGGATACAGTAAGTTAGCATTTATTTTTTTAAAAGCCACCTAACATGGTACGGTACAAAGCAAAAAAAAAAAAAAAGTTATTTGTGAAGGGCTGGTTATTTCAAAATCCTGAACTAGAAATTAAACCTTCCCCTTACGAAGGTTGTAAAAATCCAAAGTGGCATAAAAATGTGGATCACGGGGTGGGGGGGTCGGCCCCTGGGTGGCTCAATTGGTTAAGCGTCTGCCTTTGGCTCAGGTCATGATCCCAGGGTCTTGAGATCGAATCCCACATCGGGCTCCCCGCTCAGCAAGAAATCTGCTTCTCCCTCTCCCTCTGCCCCTCCGCCTGCTTGTGCTCTAGCGCGCATGAGCTCTCTCTCAAATAAATAAATAAAGTCTTTACAAAAACAAAAAAATGTAGATCACGGTAAGCATCCTCAAGTCAGTATTTCCAACTTTCTCTCCTTACCTCAGAGTCATCTGCTAAGGAGCGTCTGCTGGAACATTTAGATTTCTCATTCTCCCACTAGACTCTGGTCCTTCTGATTCTAACTCTTTAATATAGCCCCAGTCTGTCCACTTCCCTCCTATCCACTGCCCAGGCTTGGCCCCATCACTCATCTAGCACCATGGTAATGTCCTGGCTGGTCTCCCTGCCTCCAGCCATGCCTCTACAGTTCATCCTGCAACAGGCTGCCATGCAATCTTTGTAAAACACAGATCCGATCCTGTAACTCCCTGCTTAAAATCCTTCAGGGGCTCCTGTCCTTTTTGAGAACTGAGTCAAGGCAGCCCATGATCTGACCCCCAAGTATCTCCACCATTCCCTCCCATACAATCTGTGCTTCAGACACAGTGAGAACCTCTTCATTTATTCATTCAACAACACTGAGCGTCAAGCACTCATCCAGGCTCTTTAGACACAGCAGTGAATAAGACAGGCAAGGTCCCTGCCTTCATGGAGTTTCTGTTGTAATGGGAGAGAAACAAAAACAAGTAAGCAAACACACAGGGGGATCTCAGATAGTGACAAGGGTCCTGATGCAAAGGAACAGAGAGATGCAGTAAGCGTGCAAACTCGGGGGCAGGAAGGACCACTCTACAGGGGTTGGTGAGCCAAGGCTCCAAAGGGGTGAGAGCTGAGCTGAGTCTGAAGTACGGCCTGTGGAGGGAACAGCGTTCCAGGCCAACAGAGCAGCATATGCAAAGGCGGAAACACAGAAAAGGCTGGTGTGGCTACCGGACGGAGCGTACACAGAGGTGCTGTGTGCACACCCATGCGCGGTGGGGGCATGTGGGGGCAGCGGGAGGGGAGGAAGGGGATAACCAGAGAAGGAGTTCAGAGACACAGACAGGACTCAGAGTAAGGACACAGTCATGAGTTTGTAGGGAAAGCCACTGACAGCTTGTAAGCAGGAGTACGGCACAATCTAAAGCATAAATAAAGCTTAGGAAAGAGTACCTGGCTGCTGCGTGGAGCACGCACGGAGGGGCTAGAGGGGGCTCAGGAGGCTCTGGCAGAACTACCTGCATGAACCCTGCGGGTTCCGGGACACAAGCTGCCCCTTCAAGCCACCAAGGGTTTGCACGTTCCAGAGCATCCTTCCTCTCCTGCCCTAGCAAGCCACGTGTCTAGGTTCAAGCCCCACCTCCTCTCCTCTTTCCCAGACCCCCTCAGGAGGTGTAACGTGTCCCTCTTCCGCACCCCCACAGCTCCAGGACCCACATCCACTATAGAAGAGAACACGTGTGGGCTCCCCAACTGGACAGGGAGGTATTCGAGGGTGACAACTGCTTTTCTCAGCTCTGTGCCCCAGTGCTCAGCACATGGCATTGTGCCACTTGAGAAATCTGGCTGACTGGGCACCTGCGTGGCTCAGTCAGTTAAGTGTCTGCCTTCGGCTCAGGTCATGATCCCAGGGTCCTGGGATCAAGCCCCATGTCGGGCTCCCTGCTTAGCGGGAGGTCTGCTTCTCCCTCTCCCTCTCCTCCTCCCTCTGCTCATGCTCTCTCTCTCGCTCACTCTCTCAAATAAATAAAATCTTAAAAAAAAGAAGAAGAAAAGAAACTTTGTTAACTGATGGGACGCCTGTGGCTCAGTCGGTTAAGCATCCGACTCTTGATTTTGGCTCAGGTCATAACCTCAGGGTTGTGAGATGGAGGCCCGTGTCGGGCTCCACACTGGGTATGGCACCTGCTTCAGATTCTCTCTCTCTCTCCCTCTGTCCGTCCCACCACTCTCTTAAAAAAGAAAAAAAGAAAGAAACTACGTTGACTGAATGAACAGGTAAATGGTATAAGTGAGTTAGGGGCTAACACTACTGTCCCCACCTGTGTCCAATTACTGTTGCTGCACTGCTCCCTCACCCTCAGGTCATGATTTTGCTTCCTACCTCTCTAAGGAAGCAGAACCAGTAAGACAAGTCCCACACACATACCACATCTACCAATTACCTGCAACCATGTCCATATACTCTGCCTTCTCTCCTGTGCTAACGGAGGGACTGTCCATGCTTCTAAGGCCAACCCACCCACATGGGCCTCACTCCAACTGTTCTGCTCGCTTCCATCTGCATTGTTCCCTTCCTAGTAAAGCATTTGCACCAGTACACAAATATCTGCACTACCTCCCAGCTTCAATTTAAAGGAGGGAAAATGCCTTGAAATCCCACATCAGCCTCTAGCTATCATTTCATTTGTCTGCTTCCCTTTATAACAGAACTCTTTGAAGGGGTGGAACATACACACAACCTTAATTCTCCTCCTCCTATTCTCGCCTGAACCTACCCTGATCAGGCTTTCACGCCCATCATCCCTGGGAAACAGGTCTCATCCGGATCACCAAGGCTCTCTCTACTGCCTAAGCCAATCGGTAATCCTCAACCCTCATCCTGACTGGATTCTGACATTGTTGCTCAATCCACGCTTCTTCAAACACTCCCTTAGGTCTTGCCCAGGCAGAAATTTTGCTGGGCAATCGCCTCCACCAAGTTACTACAGAAGCCCAATGGCTGCCTCCTTGTACCCAGAAAGGTCAATCTGTGACACAGTCCTCTGTCTACTCACCAGAGCCCAGCAGCTGAGTATGCACAGTCTCATGGAAAATGATAACAGCAGGGCCCAGGGTGGACAAGGGGACATCCAGGCCACAGCGGGCAGTGGTAGCCTTGAGCTCCTTGGTGAAGTGCTTCAGATAAGCTTCTGAGGCGTCCCCAAGGAACTTGAAGAGGTCATTATGCAGCCGGTCTGCATGAGTTCGATAGATGACGAGGTCTGAGATGGCCAGGACCTTAAGCAGCAGTCGTGTTCTCTGGCTGAGATTCACCGTCGCCCCCAAGAGCCCTTCTGTGTCTATCACTGCTACTTTGTGGACTGGGTCATATGCCGCCCACACCCCCACGGTGCAAGACTCCTGGGCAGGGGAAGTTTTAAAGACTTCACGGCCATAAAAGAAAGTGTGGTTGAGAGTATGAGACTTTCCATCACCAGTATTTCCAAAAATGGAAACCACCTTCAAATGCTGATCAGGTTTACAGTCCAATTTCCTAATAAAGTCCTCTTCATTCGTTACCTTCAAAAAAAGAAAGAAAGAAAGAAAGAAATATAAACTGCATAATAGTTAGAAAACTTGCAAGAACAACTGCTTCCCAAGGTCAAGGTCCTTGATTGAACGGTCAAGGTGGCAAAGAAAAGAAGCTCCATGGGGCACCTGGGTGGCTCAGTTGGTTAAGCGACTGCCTTCGGCTCAGGTCATGATCTCGGGGTCCTGGGATTGAGCCCCGCATTGGGCTCCCTGCTTAGCCGGCTCCCTCTCCCGCTCCCCCTGCTTGTGTTCCCTCTCATGCTGTGTCTCTCTCTCTCTCTCTCTGTGAATTAAATAAATAAATAAAATCTTTAAAAAAGAAGAAAAGAAAAGAACTCCAGGATGATAGGCTCCCACCCAGCCTAACTCCCAGCAAACAGCTAAGAGGAACTTTCAAAGATTTAGGTAGTACAATTTAGTGCTCATGAAAGAGCTACAACTATAAAACTCTTAGAAGATGACACAGGAGTGGAGTACCTGGGTGGCTCAGTCAGTTAAGCATCTGCCTTCAGCTCAGGTCGTGATCCCAGGGTCCTGGGATCAAGTACTGCGTTGGGTTCCCTGCTCAGCAAGAAGCCTGCTTCTCCCTCTCTCATTCCCCCTGCTTGTGTTCCCTCTCTAGCTACCTCTCTGTCAAATAAATAAATAAAATCTTTAAAAAAAAAAAATTCCTTTAACTCAACAAGAAAAAAAAACTTATTAAATATTAAGCCAAAAAAATTTGAATAGACATTTTCCCAAAGATTTACAAATGGCCAATAAGCACACAAAAAAACACTCACCACCACCAGTCATTAAGGAAATGTGAATTAGAACCACACTGAGGTCCCACTTCACACCCACTAGAATGGCTATGATCAAAAAGATAGTAACAACAACAACAAAAATCTTCACATAGCTATCGGGGGCACCAACCAGCACCGCTGGTTGGCTCAGTTGGTGAAGCACGCGACTCTTGATCTCAGGGTTGTGGATTGGAGCCCCGAACTGGATGTGGAGATTACTTAAATCAGCTTTAAAAAAATTAAATAAACTGGGGCCCCTGGGTAGTTCAGTCAGTTAAACATCTGCCTTTGGCTCAGGTCATCCCTGGGATTGAGCCCCGCGTGGGGCTCCCTGCTCAGCAGGGAGTCTGCTTCTCCCTCCCCCTCCACCGCTCCCCCCACCCCTCATGCTCATGCTCACACGTGAGCTCTCTGTCTCTAATAAATAAAATAAAATCTTTAGGGCGCCTGGGTGGCTCAGCTGGTTAAGCATCTGCCTTCAGTTAAGCGTCTGCCTTTGGCTCGGGTCATGATCCTGGAGTCCCGGGATCGAGTACCACATCGGGCTCCTCAGCAGGGAGTCTGCTTCTCCCTCTGCCCTTCACCCTGCTCTTGCTCACTCTCTCAAGTAAATAAAATCTTGAAAATAAAATAAAATCTTTAAAAATAAATAATAAAAATTAAAAAAAGATAACAAGTGTTAATGAGAGTATGGAGAAACTGCAATGCTCATGCCCCGCTGAGAATGTAAAACGGCACAGTCACTCTGGAAAACAGTATGGCAGTTTCTCAAAAAGTTAGAGAGTTAGCGTATATCTCAGTAATTCCACTCCCAGGTATGTATCCAAGAGAACTGAAAACACGTCCACACAAAATGTGACTACAAATGTTCATGGCAGCAATATCCATGATAGCCAAAAGGTGGAAACACCCACATGTCCATCAACTGATGAATGGATAAACAAAATGTGGTGTATCCATACAGTGGAGTATTATTCAACCATAAAAAGCAATGAAGTACTGATGCATGCTACAACATGGATGAACCTTGAACACATCATGCTAAGTGAAAGGAGCCAGACACAAAATACTACATATTCTAGGATCCCATTTATATGAAATATCTATGACAGGCAGATTCACAGTGACAGGAAGTATATTAAGAACTGCCAATGCCTGGGGGAAGGAGGGACTAGGGAGTGACTGCTAATGGGTATAGGGTTTCTATCTGGGTTGATAAAAATGTCCTGGAATTAGTGCTAAGGGCTGCACAACTTTAGAATATACTAAAAACACTGAATTATCCACTCTTAAAGGGTGAAATAGGGGCACCTGGGTGGCTCATTCATTAAGTGTCTGCCTTCAGCTCGGGTCACGATCCCAGGGTCCTGGGTTCAAGCCCCACATCGGGCTCCCTGCTCAATAGGAAGCCTGCTTCTCCTTCTCCCACTCCCCCTGCTTGTGTTCCCTCTTTCGCTCTGTCTCTGTCAAATAAATAAATAAAATCTTTAAAAAAAAAAAAGGGTGAAATATATGGTATATGAATTACATCTCAATGAAGCGGTTATTAAAAGGCGGGGTGGCTCAGTCAGCTAAGCATCCGACTTGATCTGGGCTGGGGTCATGATCTCAGGGTCTCGAGATCGAGCCCTGCATCAGGCTCTGCGCTCAGCATGGAGTCTGGTTGAGATTTTCTCCCTCGGCCTCTGCACCTCTCCCGCTTGCGTGCACTCTCTCTCTCAGAATAAATAAAATCTTCAAAAAAAATGGCTCTCTTGGGTCCTCACTTCTAAGATGACCAAGAAGAAAAGGAATAATGGTCATGCCAAAAAGGGCCAAGGCCGCATGCAGCCTATTTGCCGCACCAACTGCGCCTGTTGCTTACCCAAGGACAAGGCCATTAAGAAGTTCGTTATTTGGAACATAGTAGAGGCCACCGCCGTCAGGGACATTTCCAAAGCAAGTGTCTTCGATGCCTATGTGCTTCCCAAGCTGTATGTGAAACATACATCCACAGCAAGATAGTCAGGAATCACTCTCGTGAAGCTCTGCAGGACCAAACATCCCCACCCCGATTTAGACCTGCAGATAGATGCTGCCCTATGACCTCCACTGAAGCCCATGTAAGGAGCTAAGTCCTTAAGGACTGAAGAAAAACTGTTCTCTGGAAAAAAAATAAAATGGAGATTATACTAAAAAATGTATTGGTCAAACTTCATCCAAAAAAAAAAAAAAAAAAACTTCATCTATCCATAATTCCTCTGTTTACAGTTAAAGAATGCTGTAGTTCCTTAAAAAGTCAGCAGGAGGAAGGAGACCTGGTGCCAGTGAGATCCCAGACTGGACCCCCAGGAAGATGCTCAGGGCCCCAAATCTCAGAATACAGAACCTCAGAGCCAAAGCTCCTAATCCATACATGGAATGTTCTACTCCAGCAAGGAGTGATGAACCTTTACACTTAGTATCCTCCAGCCACAAGAGAAAACATACCTTCCTGATTTTCAAGAGTCTGCTGGTTTGATAATGAGCAGTTAAGAGAAATGAAGACAGACCATGGGTATGATAATACCCTCATTTCCCATAAGCTCATCAAGATAGTAGACTACTCATGATCCTATTAATAACATCACTATTGTTGCATTATTAATGCATTAATGTTAATGACAACGCTAATAATTTAAATGCCCACTACAATGACAGTGCCTTTGCTAGATCCATGAGGGCAGAACCATGTCTATCTAATCTTTTCATCCCAAGTATCTGGGACACAACCTGAACATAGGAAAAGCTCAATATCTAGTTATTGAATGAATAAATGAATGAATGCCGTGCATGTTGCTAGGTACCATAATCACTTTTCTCCACCCTCTATCCTCCATAGGGCCTCACACACAGCAGCGTTCGATAAACCCGGTGATGGGCTCACTGTCCCAGACAACTGAGAGGAACAAGAAGTTACACAGAACAGCCCATTTGGGACTGGTGTTAACTCACTGGTCCCAAACGGCTAGGCTAGCTGCAAGAGAAAGAGAACAAAAGTGCCCTAAAGCTCTACTGGCAAGGAGTTTGATCAGGTCGCTGCTCTCGGGGCTATGTAAGAGCGGGCACCTGGAAAAGGGGCACGTGGGGGCCTTTCGGTACACGATTAACTGTCTCAGGATCCCTATGAAGTACCCACCACGCGATGCACAGAACATATATCAAGAAACAACTCATTTGGGAGGCGCCTGGGTAGCTCAGTTGCTAAGCGTCTGCCTTCGGCTCAGGTCATGAGCCCAGGGTCCTGGGATCTAGCCCCACATCAGGCTCCTTGCTCCGCAGGAGGCCTACTTCTCCCTCTCCCTCCCCCCCCAACTTGTGTTCCCTCTCTCACTCTCTCTCTCTGTGTCAAATAAATAAATAAAATCTTGAAAAAAGAAAAAAAGAAAAAGAAACTCATATGGGATGAAAATAAAACACTCTATGTCAGCACGCGGGGGGGGGGGCGTATTTTGGCACCCAGTGTCCTGGGGCAGGTTAAACATACCTGCTCACGTGTCAGGCCTACGCCACAGAATCTGACAAGCCTTGGATAACCATTTAACATGCACAACATGCACCGACTGTATTGGTTTTCACATGTAAAATAAGGACGGAGCCATCGCTGCCTCCCCTGACTGGGTGGTGATTGCTAGTCAAGTAAAGAGATAAACGGAGAAAATGCTTGTTAAACTGGCGCTGTACTTCATTTTTCCTTCTTCTGCCTTTTACATTATTTTGCTCTCTGTTACACTACTCAGCTCATCCTAATCTGTGGGCCTTTTCCGCTGAGCCAGAAAGCAGAGAGCAGCCTAGGCAGTAGTGAGACTGATTTGGGGGGGAAGGGGGGGTAGGTAAAGAAAAGATAAGAAGATTCCCTTTGATGAGGGAAGGAAGGAGCCAGAAGGGAACAAGGCTCCAGCTCTACTGGTTCTGCCAGTTTGCAATCAATGACCCCGCTCTGCTCCATTCCCGAGCCCAGCTCTACATGTCTGAAATGCTTCTCGGAAAGCCTGCCCTCTCCAACTTCCACCTTCTGCTCTCCCTGAGCTCATTAGGCCATCTCTTGGACGTCAGACAAGTAAGAAACACCCAAATTCCACTCCTGGCTTTGCCCCTGCTGGCCTCGGAGAAGTGACTTCACTACTGACGCGTCAGGGGAATGAGGCAGTAAGAGTCCGCAATCCCTCGGGATCCTGAGAGGCT